TTTCATAGATGTTCAATCATGGATAGGCCATAACATATATATCGATGGTGAAGGGTCTAAGCAACATAATTCACAGTTTTCAGGAGAGCCAAATAACTTTATGGCTTGACTTGATTTTATTTTTTTTCTAGATATGCAATAACTTTTTACAGGAAGAATATGGAATGTTTTTGTTGAATTATTTTTTTTTTTTTATGTCCTTAATTTTTAAACATATTTTTAATTATCTTTCAGTTATTATTTACGTGTATACGGCAATTTGAATAAGTTTGTTAGTTGATTTTGGCGCTTATGCCCTATTTTTTTTACTTAATTTAACTGATGATTCTAATACATTTATATCCATTATTTTATTAATTTTATTAGTTATTTTTATTTGAGACCAATAAAATAATATTATATCATGATATGTTCTTCAAAATAAGATTTAGGTACACAAATATTTTCTGAAAAAATAAAAAAAATATGAAACTTAATTAAAATATGATCAAAATAACGTAAAAAAAATGTTATCCTTTAATACTAATTTAATAACAATAACATAAAAAGTTACTTTTTCTCACAATATGACACTTGATATCGTACTTATATACTATTAAACAATGGTTAAAATAAAATAAAACAACTTAAGTTTTTAATGATTAATATAAACAATTACTATTCTTTTGTAATAACTTAGATAATATTATAATAATAGCATGGGTAAATAAAATAAATTACTTAATCTGAGTCTTCTACGTCAGTCTCTTGTCATCTTATATTTTGATTTGATTTCATACCTAAGTATTCTTCGTGGAATTTGTTTGGTATCATAATGTTTTCATACTTCGAACAAAAACGACATTTGTCCTTTTTTGGTGAATGAAAACCAATATTATATTTTGTATAAAACATTTTTCGGAACATAGTCTTGCTTATGATTTCTAACTTGTTAGAAGTACTTACAGTAAGACGTATACATCTTGTACAATCTACCAACGTTCTCAATTTCAGTTGCCAAGTACTTTATTCTGTTTGAAGAAGTGCGACAGTAGTGTAACTTGACAGCCGGTAATTTTTGTATAAAGTCATCGATGGCTTTTAGCGTGTCTTCTGATTTTTTGTTTGCTGGCACATGTTTTCCTTTTTATCCAGTTTTGACAGTATTTTGGCCGGCGATACATTATCCACAGTATAATAAAAAAATGTTTTGGTAATATCTAAAGTATTTAAAATGAACTGTAAACAAACTATTCTTCTCTCTTCATTAAATGTTAATGAATACTCCTTTGAAATATTCCTTCTACTGATACCTTCAACACGTTTTCTTTTTATATCTATTGTTTTTACACAACCTAATATATAATCTTTTGCCTTACTGGATCCCCAGAGCTCCAAAATTCGGTGAAAAGTTGTCGTATATCTCTTCACTAAATTTATTTTGGAATTTTTTTTAGCACATGGAAACTTGGACTATTTTAAATATTTCTTTGGCTTTTTCTTGTTTATTTAATTTACGAATGTTAGTTTTCCGAGGTAAACTTAAAGCCAACTTCTAATGCTTCTTCCAATTCATAATTTATGTTAGATTCATTAATTAGTCGATTAGGATTCTTTATATTATTATTATTTTCAAACATTATACGATCTGATAAGACGTTGCTTATAGAAAAATCGGTATGTATCGGGAACTAGGATTATGTAAATCATCAGAAATACTTGAACTAGTGATTGATTTATTATTATTTGGAGGTAATCACTCTGTTACGTCCCTATTTTCATCAGAAGTAGATTTCTCGTCTACGAAAATTGGCCCTGATTTTTGTTCCATAATTTGTGTAAAAACCGCATTGCTGTCCCGAAAAGAAGGAAGAACTTGTGATAACGATGAGTACTCCAAATTGTAAGAAGTCGATGAAAATTCATCTTGTACAACATAGTCTAATACAGGTATTTGAAGTGCTGGCTGAAGTATTTTTTAGTTTCTTGAATTCATTTTCAATACTGAATAGAAAAAAATATGGTAGATTTAATATAAAATAAATAGTTAAGAGGTATGTTATGAAATTATATCAATAGTAAATTTGTTATCTTTTATAATGAAAATAATTGAAGTCACTATAAACGAGTATAAAAAATAAATTAAGAGGATGTCACAGTAGACAAAATATGGCATAAAAACATGGTTTCGTACTTCCAGGAATACGGCTTATTGAAGCGTTTTACGGTATAAATACCTATTACAAAAATTGTAGAGGAGAATTTTTTCTAGAAACGTAAGAAGTCCGATTTTCGATATTTTTATTAATTAGTTAAATAATTAATTGATAAAAAGTTAAAAAAAACGTGTTTATTTACCATGCGATATTGGACGATTGGAACAAGATATCAAAAATCGGGCTTCTTAAGTTTCTAGAAAAAATTCTCCTCTACAATTTTTGTAATAGGTATTTATACTGTAAAACGGTTCAATAAGCCGTATTCCTGGAAGTACAAAACCATGTTTTTCGGTAAAAAAACGTTTAATTACGCCCGTCATGTGCTGCGCCCGTTACAGCCAGCGGCAGTGCTCGATACTAGGTGTTCATACCACCACCCCGCGCGCGTAACGGCAGTGCCGCACCATGGTCAAAACAGGTTTGCTATCGCAGCCGTGCGCCTGTACATAGTTTATAAATAACCAGATAAGAAAATGATTATTATATTTGTGACAAATATTATTTAATTTGGTTCGGTTTTATATTTTCTATTCGTATCCGAATTTTATACTAATAAAAACTATACTTTTGTTCTTCAAGTAATACGGCGTATTGAAGCGACTTACAACAAAACTACCTATTATAAAAATTGTAGAGGACAATTTTTTTAACAATCGTAAGAAATCCGTTTTTTGATATCGTATTCTAATCGTCCAATATCACATGGTAAACTAACACGGTTTTTAACTTTTTATCCATTAATTATTCAACTAATTAATAAAAATATCGAAAAACGGTCTTCTTAAGATTGTTAAAAAAATTCGTCTCTACAATTTTTATAATAGGTAGTTTTGCTGTAAACCGATTCAATGAGCCGTATTACTTGAATTATCGAACTATTTGGGTATGATAAAAAAACTAATTATTACGATATCGGAATAATTAATAATAATATAAGAAAAAAGGTGGGCAAGTGGGTGTCGCTCTGCTGTACAGTAGGTTACAAGTGGGTCACTGCAGTGCCGGCCCGATGGTTTTCGGGGCCCGGTGCAGAATTTCGCGGGGCCCCATATGGCCAATGGCTGTATATGTTAATTTATTAATTATTATACAATATACACATTTATTTTATTTTTTAGGGACTTTTTTAAATTGCCTGTGAAAATAATATTACCTATCAGTATTGTTTTTAAAATTTAGATAGAATGACTTTAATGATTCTACATCTAGATACATATTTTTTTGTCATATAAAAATGTAAAATAATCCAAAACGTACCTTTTCCATTAATTTAATGGAAATAGTACGTTTTGGAAAATTTAATGGAAATAGTTAATTTTGGAAAACCTAATAAAATATTAAAATATACTCCAAAATGTGCTTTTTCCAAAATAAAAATATTATTAATTTCTTATTTATTGTTTCAATATGAACAAACCGTTTATAAATAAAAAAGTAATTTTGAAGACAAGGAAGATTTTTTAAATTATTTAATAATATATTATTTCTATGAAAAACGACTCAAATGTGTTTAATAATCTAGGATTATATTTTTAATTTAATTTCAAACTTAATGATTGTGAATATTATAAATTATAAATTATATTCTAGTACGTTTTGGATTAACTATTTTATTTTGCTATACCTACAATACGGGCAGTAGTACGTTTTGACATAACATAAAAAAAAGTACGTTTTGGAATAATTTACGAAAATAGTTCGTTTTGGTATAGTTAATGATTGGTGCCTATTATTTTAACATTGGCAATAGTACGTTTTGGCGTAAAACTGGAAAAAGTACGTTTAGATTATCTAAATATAATTTTTATGCACGGAAAAGGTTCGTTTTGGATTAAGCAGTCATTTTTAACAGCTGATTTGACCTGTAAATAGTACGTTTTGGTCTATTCTGACAACACCAATCGATTTTTCGGCGTTTTTTTTTATAAGATTCGATATCTAACTCGTTTTTGCCAATTTTGGCAATAGTACGTTTTGGATTTCCACCCCTCAATCAAGGTAAGATATTAAAATATAGACATAGTACCTATACACATACTTATTCTAATTGGTATTCGTCGATAACAAACAGTTTCCTAAGAAAACAACACGGGTCGCGATATCCGTATTACTGCTACGGGGACAATATAATTATGTTTGTTTATAGAAAAAATGATATTCGTAACAAGCAAGCACAAGCCCGCCATGCGCGGGGCCCCGCACAAGCGCGGGGCCCGGTGCGGTCGCACCGCTTGCCCCCCCCTAGGGCCGGCACTGGGTCACTGTATAATGGATGATATTAAATTTGAATTCAACGATACAATATCATTGTATAAGAAAAACGATTCTGAGAGGAGACCCGAGACGGTATGTCAGTCTAGGTATAAGACATATTATAATATTATATACATATCTATAATAAGGTACCTATAATAAATTTAAACAAAAACGAGTCAGTTTGTACAATTGAAGGGTGTCGTAGGCCCGTACTTAAGGGCAATGCAAGTCACAATTTAGAAACACACATTCGAACAACTCATCCCGATGAAGCTATCATGTTGGATGAAGCTAAGGAAGATTTAAAAAAAACGAAGTTTAAAACTGGTGTAAAGCGTCTTAATAATGATGGAAATAATTCGTGCTCGAGTAAGGTACGTATTAACATATATTTTTTAGATATTTGACATAATTGTTGTATCTACCTACCTATACCTAAATCTTTTGTAACAGAAACATGGACCTTTGGATAAACATATAAAAATTGAAAAAAAAAATTTGACCGTTAATTTAAATAAGAGTTCATTGTTGGAGGCGTGCACAGAAATGGTTACAGTGAATGGTAGACCATTGACAATTTTCAATGACTCTGGGTTTTCAAAAATTCTACGTCCCTTAACAGAAGCAATTGGTGGAGGTAAATAAATTATTTTAAATAAAATATTTAAATATCTAACAATAATATATGGCCGTACACTGATACACAGAACTTATTTGCTTACATTAATTTTAATATCTCATTGTTTTTATTTATTAAGATATTTTATTAATCATAAATTAGATGTTGTATGTCCAAAAGGTTACCATGTTTTTAATTTGGCTAAAATTAAATTTCTGGTACACATTTTATAAGTTATAATATTCTAATAAGTATTAATAATATTAACAAATATAGAGGTATGATTACCTTTTAGAACATATAAAACAGTATATTTTTGGCTTAATTACTTGAACAATTTTAGATACCTTTTATTTTAAATTAAGCTATATTAAATTAAGAAACTTATTGTTTTTAAAACTAACTTAACTTGGGTTAAAAAGTTAATGCGTAAGTGCTGCGTACTGGTGTACAGTCGTGGGCCATTGGTTCCTATTTAATCAATGTCTATAATAAATTAATAAGGTAATATTTTGTTTTACATTTTAGGATTTACTATTAACTCGCAAAATATTAAAAATCACATATTTAATGCATCAAATGTGATTATTTCAAATATTAAAAATGACATTAAAAAGCAACTAATAAGTTTAAAGATTGACTCAGTCAAACGTCATAATCGTTCAATATTGGGTATAAATATTCAATATATTAAAGATGGTAAAATTTCTTTGAAAACATTAGCAATGGTAGAATTGTTTGACAAGCATACCGCAGAAAATTTAAAACAATCGGTGAAAATAAAATAATATTTATTTGTTTTTGAACTACAATTATATAGATATTATTATAAACTTTAATTTGTAATGCCTTTTTATAGCTTCTTGATGTACTTACGAAGTATGAAATAACTCAAGAACAAATTTATACAATAACTTGCGACAATGCTGCAAATATGATAAAGATGGCTAAAATAATGACTGTCAATGATATTGAGAATAATTTTATTGATTCAAGTGATGAAGTTGATAATGATATTCCAGACATCAACAATGAAGATGTTGAAGATGATGACAGCCAGAAAGACAGTGATGATGAGTACCTTAATGATGGAACATCAATAGCTAATGAAGACATTGAGAATGAACTTTTTTTTGACTTATTTAATACAGGTAAATTCATTATAAGAATCTAGTTTACAAAGCTTAAAAAAATTAAAAAATATGAAAATATATAGGTATCGAGTATTTTTTTTAAATTGAAATATTAAGATATAGGTTTATATTTTAAATAACCTAACAAATAATCAACCATTTATCAGTAAATTATTAAAAACAGATATTAGTTATATACATTATACCTAGTTATTAAGAGGATGTCAGCGCACTATTTGTTTTTTTTCTCTAGCCCACGCGCAACATACACAAAACGCATTTACGCAAAATCGTTTTTCCTATGTTTTTAAGTAATCTTTAAGTAAAATCACCCTTTACAAAAAATATAGATAGTAATATTTTTGAGGGATTGACATACCAATTTTATATTTTATTGTTATTTGACTCTGTATTCGACTTTCAAAATACACAAAATAATGTTGTAAATTTAAATGATGTTCAAATTGTTGTTTTGAGACAATATTTAGACAAATCGATATGACATTCCCTCAAAAATATTATTCTCTATCTTTTTTGTAATAAGTGTTTTTAATCTAAGATTACTTAGAAAGTTAGAACCATAGAAAAAATGATTCTGCGTAAATGCGTTTTGTTTATATTGCGCGTGGGCCAGAGAGAGAAAACAAATAGTGCGCTGACATCATCTTAATATTATATGGTTATACCATAACTTTAAATATTTAACATAATTTGCGTGGATAATACTTTTTTTTTTTAAATATTTGAAAGTTAAATAAATTACTTACACTAAATAAATTAAAAGTGTGGTCTAAATATTTTCATGAAAAACAAAACTTAATATATTTTTAAAAGTAAAAAAAATGTACTTGTATTTGTATTCTTAAGACTTAATAAACAAGGCCTTTTTTAATAGTTTAATTTAAGCGAATGATGTTTATAGCTTAAATGTAAAAAATGTGTATACCTATAGGTCAATTAAAAAGTTCACTTTAAACAGAGTAGGTAGCTATCATATTACACACTTAACACTCAATATCAATAAACCGTAAAACAAATTTTGGTGAAATGACTGGGTATCTTCCATAAATAAATAAAATGCATGTTTTAAAATTAACATAGATGAAGCGACCATAGCGATTCAATCTTTTGAAGATGATGTGTTTGACGCCATATCAGCTTCATCTATAACGTCATGTGTGCGATGTGCCGTGCATACTTTGCAACTATGTATTCTAGATGGGTTTAAAAACGCACCAATCACCAGTTGCATAGTTCAAGCAAGAAAGGTAAAATTTTAAAAGCTTAATATAATAAAGTATCTATTATTTTATGTTCATAATTTAACTATCTTACAAAACCAGGTGGTGAAAAAACTGAGAACTCCCAAGTATGCCACTTGGCTAAAAAGAAAAAACCTCAAATATGCTATAATTGATAACGAAACAAGATGGAACTCGGTCTACAATATGTTATTTAGATTATTAGAGTTGAAAGAATTTTGCCAAACCCACCATAATACAAATACTGAACTCAAATTAAAAAAAGTGAATGGGATTCCATTAAAAGTATTGTAAGTTTTATTTTTAATAAAATAAGTAACGCTAATATAACAATAAGCAACACTATTTTACTTATAATTCTGGTTTTAGTATTGATAAAACTTATAAAAAAAAGAATGTCTAATCATTATATGAGTATTGTCCATTTATTAAGTAGGTATATTATATATTATACTATATACAATCTTTGAAAATAGAAATAAATGAAAGCAAAATTTAAATGTAGTCTGATATTGTTATTTTAAATATAATTTTCACTTAATTTTTATTCAGACATGTGAATACTAGGAATATTATTTTTTCTACAATTATTATGATACTAGATATTGTTAGCATATATTTATAAGTATAATATGTGACAAAAAATGAAAAAAAATCTAGGTATGAATTTATTATGCCATGGTTTTTTTTTTTTTAAATATTATAAGGTACCTACACTTTTTTATCTAAATGTTTGACTTTTACATTTTGTATTTTCTTATATTTATTTTAAAAAAGTCATTAAAAATATTATTATACAGTTAATTATAGTTAAGTTTTTAATTTTGAATATAATATATACTAAAATAATGGTTTTTAGGTTGATGCATTAGAGCCTGTCAAAATAGCTACTTTAGCTCTTCAAAAGCAGGACATAAACCTCGGTGACTTCTATGGGGTATGGCTTAAAGCATCCCACGGTCTCCAGTCCAATGGTTCAATTTTAGCTAAGCAAATTTTGAAATCAATGAAACAGCGTGAAGTGCTTTTATTAAAAAACCCTGTTTTTTTGGCAGGTTTGTTCAATGAAATATAATAACTGTCATAACCATATGCAATACTTTATATCCTACAGTTAAAACATAAGATAAGACTGATAACTTGGTGCTGCTGAAGACTATAATATAATTTATTCTCAACAAAAGCTTAAAAAAGTTTATGTACTTCTATATTTTTTTGTGAGAAAAATATTTTATTGTGTATACACAAGAGTCCTGTAAAAAGTGTACACATTGACCATTGATAATCCAATTTGTACATAGATTAACCAAAAAAAGTATAGAAGTACATAAACTTTTGATAATCGGTGTATTTTGCATTTAATAATATTTGATACTTTTACTTTAGCAATTTTCCTTGATCCACGTTATCAATGCATGTTAAACGAAGCTGACAAAAACACCGGAATTAATCATTTAGTTAAAACTTGGAAGTTTATGATTCAAATACAAGATGATATATGTGAAACTGGTGATGTCAATAACTCAGCTATAGGTTAACACCGATTGATAAACAATTTTAACTAATTGCAGTAAATATAAATAATATTTTTTTTTCAGCCAGTACTAATGTTGATTCTCCTAATAACACTACTGAAACTACTGATGACCAGGATGTATTTGAATTATTTTTATCATCTCAATCATCTGCTTCAAGTCATCATAGTGGCACAGGTATCTTAGATGATATATCTGTTAAGCTGTGTAATTTTAAAGATGTTAATCGCCTACATTACAAAACAAATATATTGACATTTTGGGAGACCCAAAAACACGACAATTTTGAACTTTATAAGCTAGCAACAATTGTTCTTGCAGTACCTGCTACTCAGGTACCTATATTTATAACACGTTGTATATTCATGTGAAATTTTTTTATTTTATTTTCATTTTTCAGGTTAGTGTTGAACGAAGTTTCAGTGGTATTAAGTTTATTTTATCTGATTTACGTACATCATTATCAGCTAATTTATTAGATGCTATAATGATTGTACGCTCAAATACAAAGTTTAATAAATAAAGTATACTCAGGAGTTATTATTAAATTATTGCGTAACACTTATATTATACCTTGTTCCTGGTACCCTTTTTAATTGTATCCTATTCAACAGACATTTATTAAATTATTCAAATACAATATATTCTAGTCTTCGTGAGGAGATTATATAATTATATATAGTGTCAAGTGGTTGAGTCAAGTGGTTCCATACTTTCATAGTTTCATGATTATTTAGTTGTTATAAATTATAAAATAATATCATTTATATAAAATATAAATATCAATAGTTGATATTGAACTTATGAGTTTTTCTTATGTTTTATGTATTACCTATGAACTTATAGTTTAAAACATTGTTCTCTTCATGTTTAGTTAAATGAAGTCTGATCTATGAATAAAAAACTATATTTTATATTTTAATCATTTTGTTCATAGATGTATCCCTAGTTTATTTCTTTTTAGTTCACTTTCGTATGTTTTTTCATTTTTGAGACACTAATATTATAACAATTTTAGTGTGTATGAAACGTTTTATAACATTATAGGTAATAAAAAAATTAATTTTAATTTAAATATATATTTATGTATTACCTACATCAGTAGCTTGTAGCTACAACACTATTATGCTGATGATTTACTAAAATTTGGGAAATTATTATGAGTAATGGATAACATTCTGTTTTTAACCCGAAATCGAAAAAAAATAAATACCAATTTTGAAATCGAAATTGAAAAAAATTAATATCGATATTCGAAACCAAAAACGAAATTGAAAAAAATAAATATCGATATTTGAAGCCACAATCGAAATCAAAAAAAACTAATATCGATAATCAAAATTAAAATTAAAATCAAAAAAATTTTTTTCGTTTTCAAGCCCTGTCAGGGCTTGAAATCGATTTCAAAATCGATTTCAAATATCGATAAAAATCGTTAAAAATCTTTTAGAAAATCAAAATCAATATCAAAATCGTTAATGGTAGGTAATGATTTTCAAAATTTATATTGAAATTGAAAAAAGTTAAAATCGATAATTTATATCAAAATCGTAATCGTTATTATAATAAAAACGATTTTAAATCAAATTAATTTAAAATTCAACACCCAGCAGATCTATTTATATTGTCAATCCGCAGACATCGCCATATTTGGTAACAATATTGATTATACTATACATATTATGCATGATAGTGTATAATAATATAATATTAATAACTAGTATTTTGTTTCGTAGAATTTATACGATAAGGAATCAGCGTTCGATGAGCGATCGTTGTTTTTGTGGGGAAATTTATTCCGTATAATATAAAACTATATATAGACATTTTGTATTATATTATTATTATGGAAAATATATTAATTTATAATACTATATTGGTTCGTTAATCGTTGGCCGTCAACCGTGCGTCATATAGTTTCAACCAATAATATAATATACAATTAAATAACTTCAAATAGTTTTATTTTGTACTCTTGCAGTTTTAATTTTACGTCGTCATAATATTTTGTCCCATTCCAGTATAACACAGTACCTACTCGTGTTTGCGGATGCGTGCCGCGTTGGTATGTCTGATTAATAGTGATCTTTTTTTGCCGTGTGTTATTCAGTTATTCCACCATTTTATACTTCTCATTACTTATTGTGATATATAATTTAAAATGGGTCGACACCAGACTAACCCGGTAAAAAATTTATTTTTTACTTACGATATAAACAAAAACGAGTCAGTTTGTACAATTGAAGGGTGTCGTAGGCCCGTACTTAAGGGCAATGCAAGTCACAATTTAGAAACACACATTCGAACAACTCATCCCGATGAAGCTATCATGTTGGATGAAGCTAAGGAAGATTTAAAAAAAACGAAGTTTAAAACTGGTGTAAAGCGTCTTAATAATGATGGAAATAATTCGTGCTCGAGTAAGGTACGTATTAACATATATTTTTTAGATATTTGACATAATTGTTGTATCTACCTACCTATACCTAAATCTTTTGTAACAGAAACATGGACCTTTGGATAAACATATAAAAATTGAAAAAAAAAATTTGACCGTTAATTTAAATAAGAGTTCATTGTTGGAGGCGTGCACAGAAATGGTTACAGTGAATGGTAGACCATTGACAATTTTCAATGACTCTGGGTTTTCAAAAATTCTACGTCCCTTAACAGAAGCAATTGGTGGAGGTAAATAAATTATTTTAAATAAAATATTTAAATATCTAACAATAATATATGGCCGTACACTGATACACAGAACTTATTTGCTTACATTAATTTTAATATCTCATTGTTTTTATTTATTAAGATATTTTATTAATCATAAATTAGATGTTGTATGTCCAAAAGGTTACCATGTTTTTAATTTGGCTAAAATTAAATTTCTGGTACACATTTTATAAGTTATAATATTCTAATAAGTATTAATAATATTAACAAATATAGAGGTATGATTACCTTTTAGAACATATAAAACAGTATATTTTTGGCTTAATTACTTGAACAATTTTAGATACCTTTTATTTTAAATTAAGCTATATTAAATTAAGAAACTTATTGTTTTTAAAACTAACTTAACTTGGGTTAAAAAGTTAATGCGTAAGTGCTGCGTACTGGTGTACAGTCGTGGGCCATTGGTTCCTATTTAATCAATGTCTATAATAAATTAATAAGGTAATATTTTGTTTTACATTTTAGGATTTACTATTAACTCGCAAAATATTAAAAATCACATATTTAATGCATCAAATGTGATTATTTCAAATATTAAAAATGACATTAAAAAGCAACTAATAAGTTTAAAGATTGACTCAGTCAAACGTCATAATCGTTCAATATTGGGTATAAATATTCAATATATTAAAGATGGTAAAATTTCTTTGAAAACATTAGCAATGGTAGAATTGTTTGACAAGCATACCGCAGAAAATTTAAAACAATCGGTGAAAATAAAATAATATTTATTTGTTTTTGAACTACAATTATATAGATATTATTATAAACTTTAATTTGTAATGCCTTTTTATAGCTTCTTGATGTACTTACGAAGTATGAAATAACTCAAGAACAAATTTATACAATAACTTGCGACAATGCTGCAAATATGATAAAGATGGCTAAAATAATGACTGTCAATGATATTGAGAATAATTTTATTGATTCAAGTGATGAAGTTGATAATGATATTCCAGACATCAACAATGAAGATGTTGAAGATGATGACAGCCAGAAAGACAGTGATGATGAGTACCTTAATGATGGAACATCAATAGCTAATGAAGACATTGAGAATGAACTTTTTTTTGACTTATTTAATACAGGTAAATTCATTATAAGAATCTAGTTTACAAAGCTTAAAAAAATTAAAAAATATGAAAATATATAGGTATCGAGTATTTTTTTTAAATTGAAATATTAAGATATAGGTTTATATTTTAAATAACCTAACAAATAATCAACCATTTATCAGTAAATTATTAAAAACAGATATTAGTTATATACATTATACCTAGTTATTAAGAGGATGTCAGCGCACTATTTGTTTTTTTTCTCTAGCCCACGCGCAACATACACAAAACGCATTTACGCAAAATCGTTTTTCCTATGTTTTTAAGTAATCTTTAAGTAAAATCACCCTTTACAAAAAATATAGATAGTAATATTTTTGAGGGATTGACATACCAATTTTATATTTTATTGTTATTTGACTCTGTATTCGACTTTCAAAATACACAAAATAATGTTGTAAATTTAAATGATGTTCAAATTGTTGTTTTGAGACAATATTTAGACAAATCGATATGACATTCCCTCAAAAATATTATTCTCTATCTTTTTTGTAATAAGTGTTTTTAATCTAAGATTACTTAGAAAGTTAGAACCATAGAAAAAATGATTCTGCGTAAATGCGTTTTGTTTATATTGCGCGTGGGCCAGAGAGAGAAAACAAATAGTGCGCTGACATCATCTTAATATTATATGGTTATACCATAACTTTAAATATTTAACATAATTTGCGTGGATAATACTTTTTTTTTTAAATATTTGAAAGTTAAATAAATTACTTACACTAAATAAATTAAAAGTGTGGTCTAAATATTTTCATGAAAAACAAAACTTAATATATTTTTAAAAGTAAAAAAAATGTACTTGTATTTGTATTCTTAAGACTTAATAAACAAGGCCTTTTTTAATAGTTTAATTTAAGCGAATGATGTTTATAGCTTAAATGTAAAAAATGTGTATACCTATAGGTCAATTAAAAAGTTCACTTTAAACAGAGTAGGTAGCTATCATATTACACACTTAACACTCAATATCAATAAACCGTAAAACAAATTTTGGTGAAATGACTGGGTATCTTCCATAAATAAATAAAATGCATGTTTTAAAATTAACATAGATGAAGCGACCATAGCGATTCAATCTTTTGAAGATGATGTGTTTGACGCCATATCAGCTTCATCTATAACGTCATGTGTGCGATGTGCCGTGCATACTTTGCAACTATGTATTCTAGATGGGTTTAAAAACGCACCAATCACCAGTTGCATAGTTCAAGCAAGAAAGGTAAAATTTTAAAAGCTTAATATAATAAAGTATCTATTATTTTATGTTCATAATTTAACTATCTTACAAAACCAGGTGGTGAAAAAACTGAGAACTCCCAAGTATGCCACTTGGCTAAAAAGAAAAAACCTCAAATATGCTATAATTGATAACGAAACAAGATGGAACTCGGTCTACAATATGTTATTTAGATTATTAGAGTTGAAAGAATTTTGCCAAACCCACCATAATACAAATACTGAACTCAAATTAAAAAAAGTGAATGGGATTCCATTAAAAGTATTGTAAGTTTTATTTTTAATAAAATAAGTAACGCTAATATAACAATAAGCAACACTATTTTACTTATAATTCTGGTTTTAGTATTGATAAAACTTATAAAAAAAAGAATGTCTAATCATTATATGAGTATTGTCCATTTATTAAGTAGGTATATTATATATTATACTATAT